CATTCTCAGCTCGGGGAGCACAGAGCAATGAATGTGGTAACACAACAGATATATTCACAATGTCTTGTCCTCAACACAATATGTTAAGCGGCTGGAATTACTTTCAATTAGTCGCATGAGCAGTTTAAAGAGACAAGCGATTAATTTGTATTTAAGCACACAATAACAATAATACAATTAGAACTTACAAGTAAATCATGCACATAAAAAAAAAAAAATAACATTACTCTGCAACATTGAGTATGTGGATCGGCCGGCGCAGAGGATAAGTGAAAATCTAGTCAAGACTACTTGCAACTTGCACTAGAGATTCGCTCACCTTCCGCACGGGCGCGCTGCGTGGTGTGGTGTGGGGGCGGGGGCAGGGGGCGCGCGCTCACCTGCAGCAGCACGGCGTACGCCTGGTCGGCGCCGGTAAAGCTGTAGCTCTCGAGGTCGCGGCCGGCGTTGCGCAGCTCGAGCACGAGGTAGTGCTGGTGGGTCGGCAGCGCGCCGGGGTTATCGTTGTCTGAACCGTGGCACTCGTCGTACAGCTCCCACAGCTCCAGCAGGCGCGCCGGGTACGCGCCGCGCACGCACCGCACAGCTAGCACCTGCGAACACAAACCACTCACACCTCACAACACCTCTCTGCCGCCAAACCACCTGCAAACTCAAACTAGGACTTTGTCTAAACTTATATTTACTACTTATGGACATATTAAAATGTCTCCTCACCTCGTTAAAAATGTCTGTGGCGTTCTCTACAGAGAGTAAATCCAAGGAGTCGAGCTCTTTTCCTTCATCCAAGCGTTTCTCAATGTCTGGTATGGGAGCGCGCAGAGCGCTCAATTCCCTGTACAACATTATTTTATTTAATCTTCTATTGTGAATTATATTCCATCAGGGTTTCCCTACATTGATGATGTACTGCACATTAAGAAACAATTGTATTGTGGTGACACAACATGTACAGTTGAATCTGATACTCGTCATATCAATATATTCTTTTTTGGTGGAGATAAACACATTATTCACATAATCCCATTACAGTTTCCACAAAATCATGATGGTTAAGTGGCTAACAAAACCCTTCTTTCAAAATGATCAAATGAATGGAAAGGTAATTGAATGACCCTGGTATGCAGAGGAAAGTGCACAAGAAACAAGGTTTTGGTGTACCGTTGGATATAGATATCAATATCCAAAGCATCTCCTTGTCTTGTCATAATAGCCTCTACTTTTTCATGAAACAGTTTTTTTTTTTTTTTGGAATAATTTGTTCAGATAATGAACCAGGACTTTGTTGAATCTCTAAAGTTGCTGTACAGACTATAGACTGCTACAAAATACTCACATAGCAATCACAATTTCAGAGATAATTTCGTCGTAGCCCTTCTGTGGCTCGCCATTGACTTTGATATCTCCCGCAATGGGGATGACCTTGAGCACACGTGCTTCCCCGTCACGCGCCCGCCACAGGAACACTTCACCATACACACCCTCGCCGATCTTGTGGCAGTTCTTCAGGGCCCTGCACACAGCACCTCAAGCTGTTACTGTACTCGTATATTACTGGCATTTCAATCAATCTAACATGAAACACTTTAAACAAATACCACTTAACTCTTATTTGACATCATTCCTTTGCTATCAAGTTATATACAGTACAATTGCTCTCAGCATACGCATCATATGTAGGCGCAACATTTGCAAATAACTAAACATGTGTCTGTTCTATGTCAATGTTTTATTAATACAAAGTGTATTTCATGTTATCCAAAAGCTTAAACTAATAATGATTAACAATGTTCATATTCATTACATAAGAACCGAACAAGAAGAACAACTGCAACATGTACATTCTATGTATTAATAAATAAATAAACTGCTAATTGACGAGTTTTTTCTATTGACAGACAGACAATTTGACCTAGATATGATAACTAAGTAAAGTGAGCGGTACGTACGTGTCCGGATAGCATTCATCAAAGAGCAGGGGTTCGGTCTGGTTGCAGCGGCGCAGCACGTAGTCGCGAGCGGTGGCTATGCGACTCGCCTCATGGAGATTTTCAACCACAGTCACTTCATGCACCGACTCACCGATGGACAATTTTGATAAATCGACGATTGTATCATCACAGTCGTCGGACAGAAATCCTAAAAGCAGCTAATAGTTAAGAAAACACGCATGACGCACAATAGGAAGTGAATGACGAACTTTCCCCGCGCGGTACACGTAATTTCTTACGATTGTCAAACTACGCTAAAGGTGGTAGGTATTCAAGGTAAATAACGAGTTACTGACCTGTGTATTGCAGGGAAAGATGCATGCACTTGGCTTTAGACACTTTAGGTTGAACAAAGGCGTATGAAGAAGCTATTATCCCGTTAGGGATAATGGCAGTCACAAACAGTCAACACAATGAAAAATTTTACTTAAAAATTAAAGTACTTTCTACTAATATAAGTAGAAATAAAAAATATTAAGTCAATGTACCGAGATACTTATGTGAAATAGTTTTATTAACGAAAAAAAATAAAACTTGTGTAAGATTGCTATAACGACACACAAGAGCGCCTTCTTTCTTTCGTCCGCAAGTGACACAGACTATACACAAAAATATTGTTGGTGTTGCCAACAATTAATTAAAAGTACCAACTATTTTAAATACTGTTGAAAAAAGTGTAACAGGGGCGCAAGTATAAAATAAAAAGCCGCACGTACGTTATAAGCTGTAAAATTTAAATATCTATTCATTTAAAAGAGGTACCTTTTAAGTCTTCGTAAGCTGTAGTCGGACACAAACTCGCCCGCGAATTGCCGTTCTCCTAAAATTTATAAAGTGAAGATTTAAATGGCTTCGGCGGGAACAAGTTAGTAACATTGCCTAATTTGACATTGATTTAACTATAATATGTTGTTTACTTACTTTTACAAGTTTTATTGTAGACCTGCTAGGTTTGCAAATAAATGTACTTCTCCGACCATTAATTGGTTCATTATGAAGGGAACCTGTAATTGAAGCAACATGTTTGTTGAAATACAAAAACATAATGTTAACTCTTCACTGAAATTAACATGTATTTAAATCTTAACTAGTCCTATTATTTAACAAATACAAATTCGTACCTGACATTACACTGCAACTTTGAAATATTATGTCAAATGACGATATTTCATAAACAGTTGAACTCCACTTTGTTAACAAATTTCAGAGTTTCTACCAAGGAGTTTTATTACAAATTGTAAACAGACGGATGGATTTTTTTATTTTACCTTCTGAGGAAATATTTGAATTAAATAGCATCATATTTCAGAACCTCTTAAAATTTATATGATAACAATATTGTGGGATAGAGGTGTTGAAACTCGGAGAACTCTGAAAACTCGCGAGCCGATTTTACAAGGGCTTTATTTTGACTTTACCAGAATCAAGGGTGAAAGTTGTTATAAAGCAGGGAAGGTATCAAATGTTTTGTGTGAAGCCGAGACGGGTGAATAATTTAAAACTGGATTTTGATATCGTTGAAATTACGATTATATTCCAGTATCGAGAACAGAAATTATAAAAATAACCGTAACATTATGAAAAAAAAAAAGAAACAAGAAACAGTACTACAGTCCGTATCAGTGTTTCTGTGTTTCGCCTGACGATTGTGACGCCAGCGGCCAACTCTAAGCCCCCTTCCCCATGAATGGCAAGAGGAATTGTCTGGGTTAGTTAGTGATATATTCTTTTTATGTACATTGTTAACTCTATTAATTACAGGTAACAGTGGTAGAGCCCGCTTTAACATCTTCGCACGAATCGGCCCGGCTCGCCCGGTGAAATACCACGGCCACACAGAAGACAGGCGTCAAGTGGAAGCAATTCCGCGTTTCGTCTGATGAGTGTGCGTCCCGGAGGCCTAATTTAGTCCTCTTTCTCTTCCCACCCTTTTTCTCATAAGGAATGGATGGGAAGTGGAAGTGGACTTTCCGGATGAGAGGATGCATGGAAGGGGAAAATATTTTCTTTCTGTGCATCCTCTCCTCTGTCGATTAAAGGTAGGCAAAGCATATGCAATTGCATATGTCCATGGGCAACGGTCACTTCGCTATTTATATATATAAAATATGATATAAAAAATTGCCTAACTTTTTTTTTTATATATTATGATATAAAAAAAAAGGTAGGCAATGTATCTGCTAACTTTTAAGTTAATGCAGCTGTTACTATTATACTACCCATATTGCTACAGAGGCCGTTGCTTGTTTGTTTACTATCTCATACTATAAAAATGATCTCTAAGAAACATGTTAAATTAAACGAAAGAAAAACATGAAATTTAAAATGTTTGTCAAATGACGAAACAAAAACGTGTAATGTAGTAGACAACATTGGGTTAATGGTGTGACCACAATAAGATATCTTATTCACATAACTCTGGGTATGTGACATACTTAAACAGTGCTTTTTTATACTTTTTGATGCTTTTATCAAAATTTGTGAGTGACATAGGTCTGATATATAATTTAAATGAACAATTATTACTTTTAGGTGTACATCTTAAATTCAATTTATTTTTCTGTAAGATTGTATTGCGATATCTATAATTTGATCAAATGACAATAACACATTTGAACAGTCTTTCAATACCAACACCTTTAAAATTATGCCGACACTACACATAACAAACATCGACAGATATCTTGTATCACAAATGGCAACATTTGAGGCCAGGTAATCCCAGTTATATAAGTAAATAAAGGGTTAACAAACTTACAAATCGATTTCTGCATTTGCATGGTGTCAATCACACTTTGTCTATACTTTCTGCCTTTACTTTCTGTTTCTTCATAGTCTAGAAGAGAATGCTTGGTGTCTGCTATTGTCGTCATTCTTTTATAAATACTCAATGATCGTTCCCATTTCTTTCCGGGCTGCAGTACAATTGCTACTTTTGGTCCACTAACAATATCACACTTTGTCAACTTCCTGCTATCTTGTTCACATGTTACATTGCTCCAGTCGGGAACTTCATCTCGCAACAAAATATCTTCATGCTTTGAAATAATATTGTCAGTAACAGACTCATTGCTTGTTGGCACAATTCCACTTTCAACATATTCTTCCGATGCAACATAACTTTTCTCGTTTTTAGCTAATTCATGTATGTTATCAACAATTGCACTCAGATCTTGTTTGACACTACAACTGCCAAAAGAGGTATCGGGTAAAATTATAACTGAGTTGTTAGCTTCATGTCGCCGCCTGGTAGTTACATAACTTATCCCTGCATCTTGCTTCGGGCTTTTATTTGTTTCAAGTGTTTGTTTACATCCTTGATAACAATTTTCTGGAGAAAGACTATCCATAGAATAAAAGTTATATCCACAATCTGTGTTGTACGAAGCATTTGATAACTCAATTTGATTTTCGTTTACCTCGAAGTTATTGCCACAATCTGTGTTGTATGAATCGTCTGATAACTCAATAAGGATGTCTTTTTCATCCACATTATTGCCACAATCTGTGTTGTACGAATTGTTTGATAACTCATTAAGATTCACTTTTTCTTCCATATTATAGCTGCAATTCTTGTTGTATGAATTGTTTGACAACTCATTAAGTGTGTCTTTTTCCTCCAAGTTATATCCACAATCTGTGTTGTATGAAGCATTTGATAACTCAATTTGGTTTTCGTTTACCTCGAAGTTATTGCCACAATCTGTGTTGTAGGAGGCACTTGATATCACTAGATTATCTTTTAGATCAAAGTTAGTATGGTCATTACAAACCTTAAATTGGTGTCTAATGGTTTCTGAACTTTTATACTTCTTGTAATATTTACGAAACAGGGAATCATCCATTTTTTCTAAAGCAACTACCAGATTAGGCTTAAATGAAAAATGATTATCATTAAGAAGATTAGTTTCACTGGTGATACAGCTACTATTTTTAGATGTACATTGTTCAATTGTATTTAATTTTTCATTGAGTAAAGAAGAATCAGATAGAAGGCACTCTTTGGCACACCATGAAACTTCACTTTCAAATTGTTCAATTTGCATATTTTTAAGTTCTGACATAGACCGATCTGGAGATTTTTTGGATACAAAAATGTCATTTGATTGATTTTTGAGATAAAAAGGAATGTGAACAATGTCTGTGTTGTAATCAGGCTCTGACGGCTTAGCAAATCCATAACATGGTTCTACTTCAGATGTTGATAATGTGTGAAGAATTTCACTCTCTAAGCTTAAGCTTTTTTGCTGGACAATTGTGAGATCCTTGCTTGCTGCCTGATTTCCTTCACAATTTATAACATTGGTAACTCTCAAGGACTGTATTTTAACAGATGTTTCACATTGGGATTTGTTTTCATATTCATCATCTGAGCTACTTGCTTTAAAAGTATTCATCACCACTTTAGGGCTATCCTTGAAATTTATAGAGATTGGTGATATATTAAAGATAGATTGACATCTATGTTTAAGCTGGAATGGGGTACTACAAAGTGGAGAATTTGCTGCTGCTGGAGAGTTTTGTTGTGTGGCAGTGAGTCTATGGTTATTCTTAATACTTTTCAAATGAGGATTGTTGATGTTATTAAGAAGTGGCATGTGTTTTACTATTCTTCTGATGGATTCATCATGACATTTACATTCACTAGTATCTTCTACTTCAACTATCAATTTGTGAGATTTAACATCAGAAGTGTTACTACACGAGGATTTTACTTTAATTGCATTTACATTATCCCAATCTGAAATAATAATTATATTTCTTGAGTCATCATTAATATACATACTTTAGTATGAAAAAAAAATCAATGATATCAAATAGATCATCCTTGAAACTCACCTGCACAATCAACAGAACAATTATATTTTGTCTTCCTATTAATGTTAAGACTTTCACTTCTGGAACCAAATCATACATAATTAAAGCCAAAACTGATTTTCCATTAGGCCATTATCACAACAAACAGCTACTATACTATGTATGTATTTTATTATACTTTAGAGTCTATTATGTTCAAACAAAACAAGGAAATCCCACTATTCCAGAGAGTACAACAACTTACAATTTATGTACTAAAATAGGACTCTTTGTGAATGTGGGGGATGATCTCAAAAGCAAATCGAATTGATCTGGAGCTTTGTTCACGTGTATGGATTTGTCCGGCGTGAGGAGCACCGACTGGGACTCTGGTTCACCAGGATGGGGTAACTTCCGTTGTGAGCCATCATTAACTATTCGCTTCACGTATTTTCTTTTGCGTATCTTCTTAGAAGGCAAATTAATTTGATTGGAACAGGCCGAAGAAGAAATCTCTTTTTTGTTTAATTTTATATTGTGAATGTAAAATGCGTCGAAAGCCGAACTTCGGCCATCTATTCTTGAGATTAATTTTTTATGGTCTATGCTACCATCATCTTTCTTAGATCTGTAGGTCCGTCTCATTCTTGGCTACTAATTAGTTATCATTAAATCTAAGTAAGCAATTGTTAATTATTTTACACAATAAATATTACGAAGTATTAACTAAAATCAAAATTTAACGATAAAAACAGTGACAGGTGACAGGAATATGTCATTTATTGTGGTTCAAGAGCTATGGTTGGCAGGGCAGAGACAGAATCTCGATGAAATTTGGTAAACGTGTAGATATGGTCTAGAAGAACATATAGGTTACTAATAAGGTTTTTTTTTAATTCCGTCTTCCGTCTTTTGCCGTGTGTTACTGCAAACTCTGGATGTTTGCTTTACTGACATGACACTGGTGACCAGTTGATAAGATAGCAAATGACACTGACAGCTGACAGACAGTACAAGTAGCAACACACTCTTTGGATTACAGGTCCACTACATTTATTAACACACAGTTTTATTTTTATATAAACTTTGCTGTTTGATAGATATTAGCGTTTAATCAGAATGCATATTAAACAGTAAAGTATTATTTTAAATATATCTATAAATGTTATAAACACTGAATTTCTAATGTCTAAGTATATTATGTCGTTTGTTGGTTTATAAGTATAAGTGTTTTTTATAAATGTTCTGTTTATTTTATACTGTGAAAAAGTTTTGTTAAAATGGAAGGTAGCAATGAATCTCTTTCAGGTACGTATCAGTATTCCGTGAAAGAAATGTCAGTGGTAAAAGTACGTGTTGAGGAAAAGCAATTGCCAATTTTTCAGTAATGAGTTCAGCACTGGGTAGCTCCCCCGGTGTTCTGCTCACTCCTGGTCGGACGAGGAACATCGCACAAGACATGGAAGCTCTTAGGCTTTCTAGACAAGACAACCCCTACTTGCAGGTATCTTACAGCTACATAAGCATTGCATAGTGCTGCTGCTTTACATGGAGAAGTTAATTGAGTGTGTGGTTGCAGCAAGTGATGGCGAGCAGAGAAAGTCTAATCGACAGCCATGCAGAGGATTGCGGATCTGATGATACAATTTTAATGTCACAGGTAAATTTTCTTCTTTCATTAAATTGCACTGTTAAATTGAAACATATTTTATGGATTAATTTACATAAGATTCATCCAGAAAATTATGAAATATGTATGTTGGATTAGGACTCCCTTCATTTTCAGGAATTTGGCAGCACAGCTTTAGACTTTGTGGAGGAAGACCCCCTGACATTAAAAGAGGTTCATGAGCATATGATCAGGTCTCCGCCCCCTACAAGCTGCTGGCCTCATGGTAACTCCTACATTGTCTCATAATGTAAATTAAGGAGCAGGTGTTGGTCAGCCTGCTGTCAGAAGTGCCCAAGGTTCTGACACTTGTGGTCCATAGGAATTCTTACAAAAACATTTTTGAAAACTGACTATGATCAGTTAGGCCTGTTGAGGGGCAGCAGTGACTGATGCATCCGACAGGCTCGCTACTACTAACTCATAACTCATAACATTGTGCTAATTGTAGCCACTCATACTAAAGTTGTAGTATTTTCACAGTATTGTTAAAGCCAAGTGTAACATGTTACATTTATAATATTGATTGAAGTACATATAATTTTCATGACACTTCTCATCATGAAAACTTTATGGTGGCTCGCGATTATGCGTGAGAGATGGCAAACAATTGTGGGGATATAAAGGGCCGCCAGGATGAAGCACATTGTGCATGCTTTCCTGAGCCCATGGTGGGCCCGGTACCTCGCACTCACTTGTGTAGATGTGCGCTTGCTAAACAAATACGATCCACCATGATGTAACTAGAGAGAAATGTAAAGTAGCCGGTGCAAGTTTTCTACTAATCCTAACACTAATATACTAACCGTTTGTTCGCCGGCGCGGCAGGGGCGGAGTCGCGGCGCGCGGCCAGCGCCTTCGAGTTCGCGGCGAGCGGGGGCGCGGGCGCCGCGGTCAGTGCGCGCCCCACTAGTGCCACCGCTGCTCCTGCTTGTGCCTCTCTGTTGCATGGCTTGCTTTGCTTTTCCTATGTTAGTGCTTAATTATGTGTTTGGTGTCACCTTTTTGTTGAAATTATTTTGTTCATTTTGGGTTTTTATTTTCCACAATGGTATTTTTTCATTGCGGGTATTTTTGAAGAACGCAGTTAATTAAATCCACCGGTCCATGTACGTACTCGCCGGTTGGACCGTGTCCAAACGATACTGGGACTGGACATTCCTGTCGGCTCCCGACGAGGCGAGGAGGGAGCGGAACGAAGGCGGCCCGTCGACACCTCGGTGAGGCATTTCATGATGAGCGCGACCTCCGCTGGTGTCTTCACTGGCATAAAGAAGATGAAATCTTACAGGACGTCTATGGTTTTACTGTCTCTGTACAAAGTGCATGGTGTCAGAGTGAACGGGAGTGTTGTGGCACTATCGAATGTGAGGCGGCGCGGCGTGCGGCAGCGGCAGCGGCGGGGGTAGCGGCGGGGGCAGCGGCGGGGGCAGCGGCGGGGGCAGCGGC